GCCCAAGGTGTGAACAGACATTCCAGTTTTTTTCCTTGGCCAAAGCAATCCAATACCATAATCCAGTAGACTTTCAGCAAGAAGGACTTTTGTGTCTCCAGTTTTCCCAAGACTTTCCTATTAATACAATTACAGAGGTAGTTTCTTCTCTACTGACCAAGGAGGCAATCAAAAGCTCTGCAGACAATCCATTTTGCAGGCTCCAACATTACCAGCTTTGTCTTTAGAGAAATAAAAGAGGTCTGGTCTATCCTACAGCATGGATGTAACCTGTGGTTATTTTTATTCATTAAAAAGATGGCAGCTGTATTTGTCCTTCAATTACCCGTGGTGTTACATCAGAGCTGCAAGGCACCCTGGGAGCTGAAGCTACTGGTTGTTTTATGGTGATCTGGCATTACAATAGGATTGTAATGTTCAGAAAAAAGCCTGGGATATATAGTCTGGGAATAATGTCACATTCACGCACGTCCTACTTGTGTTGATGGTAGTGCATTATTGACAAGACTGGCTATGGCTAGATGGGTAAAAATAATGTTTCTTCATCGTGATTTCATTAACAAACCATCAAAAGTGCAACTAAGCAGTTTAGAATTTATGTTATTTGTTTTTCTACTAACAGCAGCCATATTGGATTGTGAGGCTAAACTTGATGAAAAACCTCCTTCTCAGACTTCAGTAGGTGTACAGAGTTTATTTGGGTATATAAAGTGGAAATTAATTGTAAAGAGGCAATACAGTATATCAATTTCTCTTTTTAAATTTATGTTGGCTTTGCTGATTTATTTAAAGACGGTGGTTCAATACATTTGATACACCACTAAATGTCTCTCCTTAAACATTTAATCAAAGGGGTTTAAGGTAACAAACAAGGAAATGTATCCTCAACACATTTTATTATTTTGAATTATATTTTAGCATTAGGCCACAGCCATTAAATTGCCAACAAACTAAATAAATGTATGAAAAAGTTGTCTTTAAAATTAGTTGAGGCAAACATTTCTTTCTCATACAGTTAAATAGCTTCTCATTGTATGTGCTGATATTCACAAGAAGAGCATGAAATAAAAATAAATCATTCATTTCTGTTTTGTCCTTGGGGAATGAATACAGAAAATGAGACCAATTTCTTTGAGCAACTCTTCAAAAACTGAAAGAGAGCAAGACACACTCTTTTAGTCAGCAAATATCTATTGTCAGATAATTGCTTTCAAAACAGCATCTTGCCTATAATTATCTACAATAAAAGCAAAATACAGTTAAGAGTCCAAAACAACTGAAAAAAAAGGAAAAAGAAAGACTAAGGATTGGTATCGTTAAGCCAAGTTTTACACACTATATTCACCAAGAAGTATTTTTCCGGAACCAGGCCAGGAATAGTTTTTCTAAGACAAAGTATTAGGGCCACGCTAGAGGTTTTTTTTTTTTCCATTTCGAGAATGAAGTCGTAACACTACGAGAATAAAGTCATAAAATTACAAGAATAAAGTCGTAACATTACGAGAATATTACAAGAATCTCTAGCCTGGCCCTAATACTCTGTCGTAGATTTTCTATGCTACATTCCAAGCATAAAAATGTGACGTTTCTAAATGTCACCAGGAGTCTAATTGGATTAATTTTTTTCTATTAGATGAGGGTAACAATTAGCTTTTTAGCAGGGAAAACTTAAAAATTGGTCTGGTGTGAAAACTAGAGTAAAAGTACAGAGTAGTGTTTGTAATGCTGCAGATCTACAGTCCCTTGAGATCTGTGCTGGAAATATAAACTATAGAACATATCACATGATTTTAATGAAACCTGTCAGAAAAACAAAAGCTTTTAACGTCATTATGTGTTTTAACAGAAAATATATTCAAAACATTTGAACTAGTGAACATAGAAATGGTTTACCAGTTAGAAAAAAAAAATCCTCTTTCATTGCCATCACACTCTGATGCCGATAAGCACTGATAAATGGTTACATTGGGAATGCTTTGTGGCATGATTCCTCTTCCTGCTTCTCTCTGCAATGTACTTAATTACGATCATTGTTTCCACCTTCATCCTAATCACGCCTTATTCTTTACACCTGTTATCCTGCCCTTAGTTTCTGCCCCCCCCTGGAAAACAGTTGCCAGATTATCGAAAGCCAGCATTATTTCTCTGCTTGCCTACATGAACTTGATTACATTTTCCCTCCTAGATTTCTTACGTCGAATATACTTTTGGGTTCTGATCTCTAGACATCTGTGTTGCTTCTCCATTCTATTCACCGTCTCCTGCCTTGCCCCTGGATTTGTAAGCCTGAATCTGCATTTCTGGCTGTTGTGCCCCGACTATCGATTGAAGAATGTTACTCAGATACTGTCTGTCTCTGACCCCACTTCTTCAGCCCCATTTTTGTTCCCTTGTCACAGAGTTCTGCTTCTCTCCTGGGTTTGCCAACTCAAAAATTTACTCCAGTGTGTGTTACAGGAGCTTCTGGATTTAACTACTTTTTAAACCAAGGACGCACACTTGAAGCTCTGCGACGTCATCCTGCTGCCATCAGCCTGCTCCTCTACAGATTATGAGAGGGTTATAAGCTTTATTATTACTTATTCTTGTCTTTCTTTCAGTTCCTGATCAGCTACTAGCCTTATTCCAGTGCTCCATAGATTACTGATTCCACTGTCGATGACTTCCTGCCAAAACCCAGGTTTAATTCTTAATAAATCTTTGAAACTGCTACTGTTGTATTTGGTGAAAGCTTTGGGTCCACAGTCAAGACCTTTACAATTTTGTGTTGAATTTACTTTCTAACTGCCGTGTATCTAAAGTGATTGAGATGACATGTGCTGTTAATTGGTGTAATATAAATAAACTAAATTTAATTGAATTGACAAAAGTTTGACCCTACAAGCAAGGAGCTACAGGTAACTACAGTTCACTCTATAAAACAACATCTGTATAAAAATTTGCTTCCTCTGGGTAATTTCTTTCACTGCTTTCCATGTATTCACCTTCTTCTCTGTGTTTTTTTTTTTTTTTTTTTT